ATATATATATATATATATATATATATATATATATATATATATATATATATATATATGTATTGTCTATCAAACCATATAACTTTTGTCTGAAACATTTTTACTGAATATGCTTAGCTGAAGAATTATCAGGGTGCATATTTTAAAACCCTTTTATGGGCTTTCTACAATAAGCCATTAATCATTACACATAACGCATAAGAAAATTCACCAATTGCAGTCCTTCAGAATATAAATGAAGAATTCTGATTGGTGAATTCTCTTATGCCTTATGTGTTATGCGTTATGCGTTACGACTAATGGCTTATTGTAGAAAACCTATTAGACTGCCGGGAAAGTCACTTTTGTGGCTTATTAATGCAATACTAAAAATTAAAATTTTCTGAAAAATTTTTCAGAGCTCTATGAGAAGAAAATAGATAATTTTTATCTCTTTCTATTTTTCGGTAAAGTTGATAGAATTCGAGTAAAAAATTATTGATACCAATAATTTTGTAGATATTTCTGTAAATATCTTAGAAAATCGAGGTCGTATAAAAAATGTTTTCAAACAAAAGTTATTTGTTTCTTTGCGTAGAATAAAATTCCGTGATAAAAAGTACATATTTCTATTTAAAAAAGCAAAGTTGATTTCGACCTGAAGTTGGCGGCGCCACCCAAGGTCAAACTAATAGTATCTTCTTATGTTCTCCATCAAATCATAATTTTTGTTTGAAACATTTTTCCGTATTTTTTGTATATTTCAAGATACTTCGGTGTGAAAGTTAAAATGGGACACCCTTATAATCTCAAAAACTAAGTGTCAAAACAATCTTTTGAAATATTAAAAACATACAATTACTATATATTATTAATTATTATTATATATTATCAATTATTATTATATATTAAAATCCAAGTACTGAGACAATTAAATGTTGGAAGCACGAAATTGCCCTAAAAGTATAATGTTAAAGTTATTACAATATAGCGTTTTTGTATGAATGTTGGTTCTCATATAAATAATTATAGAATGTAACAACAGTTAAATGAAGTCTTTTCGAATATCGATCTTGTGGTGATATTAGAATTAAAATTTTATATTTTTTTAGAGAACTTTATTCAAGTTGTCGATATATTCTGTATATTGTTTATATAAACTTCATAGATATTTATACAATAATGTCACATATTTCATTTTATTGATTTCAATATTATAATTTCAGGAAAATTTCATGCTTCTAGTATTTCGAGAGATTTTCTTGATATTCGTACGTTCATATGATAACGTTTCATAACGTAATGAAACATGCTTTCAATATTTCGGCAAAATTGTATCTCGGGAGTTTGTCCTGGTATTCAGTTTTGTTGGAATTATGAGATATTGCTCTATTTTCCGAATTTTGATATTTTTTCGGAATTATGTATGTCCTTCAGCATGTTCAAAATACATTTGAATAATAAGGAATAAAAAAAGCTTTAAAATATTACAAAGAGTAAAAATAAATATTTTAGGTGTTCAAAGGAAGTTGTTTTTGGAAATTCTAGTGTTAAAAGACAAGAGTATCCTTAAGTATACTTAATCAATAAAATATTTGAAATTTTCAGAGCGGACTTGTAAATATTATGTGTGGCTATAAAGTCCAAGTATTACCAGTGTCGGAAGCGAGCAAAAAAGTCTGGACTAGCGGATGCATCGAGATCGTGCGTAGCTGGGCGGAACGTAATCTCTACACAATAGCTGGTATTGCCCTAGGTATCGCACTCAGTCAACTTTTCGTGATTTATCTTGCAAAGACGTTAGAAGGACAGATCGAGTTGCAAAAGTCACGCTGGCATTCCTGAGCTTGACTTCAGGCCACCTACCGTTACCAGATACATTCTTCAGCCAACAGGCAGGTGGCCAGCGGTGGCGGTCGGTCGCGCGGCCAAGACACAGAGACTAATATTAACGCGCGAATGGCATTGCTTGTCCTTTTTGCGATCTCTTTATATGTACTATGCATTTTGTCCCTCATCAAACTCGTTCTTTATTTCAAAAATTACTTTCACTTGTACGTAAGCAAGGTGTAAATGTATCGATTAGCCTTCATTTTCTAGAACGTCATAGGGGATGATACATTTGCAATCAAGTATCGATAAGAGTTTGCTTGTCACAATAATGAAAGATAATGCGGAATCAACAATTTAAATGTGCTATTAAAGACAAAAGTGAAAGAGTGTAGTATGTACACTCAACTTTGTTGAGCATACATTGTGTTATGTTGCGTGATGTTAAGAAACTTATAAACGACGAATACATGTAAATATCCGTATTTCTCGCAACATAATATCTTTTATTTTTTCGTTATTGTAGCTTTACAACTTTTTTATTAGAAGTACATTTTCGATCTTATGACGGTATCAAACATTTTTGGCGAAATATAACTCGCTTATTAAAGATATATTCAGATCTGATATATACATATATATTTATATTTTATTGCGATATTATATAATATTTCTAATGCGAGAGTTAGTTAAAACGTATAAGTCATAGTTTTCGACATACTGATATAAAATTGTATCATTGATTGAGTAATATTATGAAATAAGTAATATGCTAGTTTGTTTTATAAGAATTGAAATAATGTCAATAATCGTGTGCAAATTTTAATATTTCTTCCATAGATTATGCACAACATTATTTCAATATGATTTGGATATCTTTCTGAATGCAGTTTGGTCACAGCCAATAAAAGGATGTCCAGATCCAATAAAAGAACATTTTTTTCATTAATTTTAAAAAATTAAGTTCTTCAAGTCTTCATAATCTCTTTTTACCATCAGCTATATTCAAAATTGTATTGAGAAAAATGTCCAAATAATATTGAAATTAATTGCAAACAATAATTTTAAAATTTCTGGCTCCCATTGTAGTTATTTTATTTTGTGATATCAAATACTATTTAATATGATGATGCATAAAAAGAATTAATTTCCAATATTATATATTGCTATAAAAAAATCACTTACGATTTCTTGTTTCTGACATAACTCAATATAACTACATTTAGTGAGCCAGGGAGAGAAATCCATAAAATTAGAAATCTATATCCCATAAAGAAATCTTGAAAAATTTACTTTATTAATTAGATGTATAAACAAAATCATCAAATGTTTGTTAATTATTTTTATTTTTAAATAATTTTGTTAAAATTGTGCAAAAGTTTTCTCTATTCATGGCTGTTAATCATGTGTATATGTACACTTGCGTGCATATACGGAAAGTAAACTAATTCACTTACACTATTTATGTAGTAGCACTACTTGTGCTTTTTTATGAAAATTCGTCGAAAAATTCTGAACCAATCTTTTTCTGTGAATCATAATAAAATTGTTAAATAGAATAGAATAGAATACATAATCAATACCATTGTTTGAAAGAGCATAAAAATTGTTTACAATAACGCTCAAAACTGATTGAAGACGGCTTTAGCGACATAGCGAAGTTGCATTGTGTGATGACTCATTTAATTACCAAATGTATAAAACTTATACACTTTAATTACATTCCGTAATATATATATATATATATATATATATATATATATATATATATATATATATATATATATATATATATATATA